GCGCCACCATGCCCAGCTAATTTTTTGTAGTTTTAGTAGAGACGGGGTTTCGCCTTGTTGACCAGGATGGTCTTGATCTCTTGACCTCGTGATCCACCCGCCTCGGCCTCCCAAAGTGCTGGGATTACAGGCGTGAGCCACCGCGCCAGGCCTACTTTTTTGTATTTTTAATAGAGACGGGGTTTCACCAGGTTCGTTGGGCTGGTCTGGAACTCCTGACCTCTAATGATCTGCCCTCCCCGGCCTCCCAAAGTGCTGGGATTACAGGCATGAGCCACCACGCCCAGGCCTCAAGTTCTTAAAAAACAAAAGCAGGAGGGAGGAGGAGGGTATGCAGTATCCTAAATCCTCAGAACCCCTGGGGAGGAACCTCATTCCAACTCCACCAGCACTCCCAGGCCCAAGCCTCTAGCAGGCCTCCGACCTCGCAGGCTGCTAAATAGACAGCTATTGAGGAATGTGTATTCTCAAATGCTTAGGCTAGAGGGCTAGAAAAAGACGGCTTCCATCTGCCTCTGTGGGACTCTACCAATGTGAAAGGATACTCTCAAGGTATTTAGCAACTCCCATTACAGTCCAGCAATTGGTGGGAAAAGTTAGAATTTCTTTTTCTTTCTTTTTTATTTTTTTTGAGACGGAGTTTTTGCTCTGTCGCCCGGGCTGGAGTACAGTGGCGCCATCTCGGCTCACTGCAACCTCCGCCTCCCGGGTTCAAGCGACTCTCCTGCCTCAGCCTCCTGAGTAGCTGGGATTACAGGCGCCCACCACCACGCCCAGATAATTTTTGTATTTTTAGTAGAGATGAGGGTTCACCATGTTGGCCACACTGGTCTCGGACTCTTGACTTCAGGTGATTCACCCGCCTCGGCCTCCCAAAGTGCTGGGATTACAAGCGTGAGCCACCAGGACCGGCCGAAAATTAACATTTCAAGACAGGAATTACCTGGAGTTTATTTAAATGAGAGAGTTTTACTTTCCTTGATATTGGATGAGCAGAATATTTTCTCAAGGTACTACATCTTTCTATATATTATACACTACTTTTTAATTTTTAATTTTTGATTGAGATCGAGGGTCTTGCCACTTTGCTCCGGCTGGTCTCAAACTCCTGAGCGCCCGAGCGCGGTGGCTTACGCCTGTACTCTCAACACTTTGGGAGGCAGATGCGGGCGGATCGCTTGAGCCCAGGAGTCTGCGAGCATGCTGGGCAACATGGCCAAACCCCGTCTCTACAAAAAACAGAAAAGTTAGCCAAGCATGGTGGGGCACACCTGTGGTCCCAGCTACTCGGAGGCTAAAGTGGAAGGACCGCTTGAGCACGGGAGGAAAGGTTGCAGTGAGCCATGATCGCGCCTCTGCCCTCTAGACTGGCCGAGATTGAGACCACCTCAAAAAAAAAAAAAAAAAAAAAAATAATAAAATAAAAATAAGAGTGAAAGAGGCATCATTGATTAAATATAACTTTGGAGGGTGGTTTATATAGTAAATGTCTAGATTGATTGAAAGACCCAGCCCAGTTTCAGAAACTACAATAAATATTCAAAAAAGCACATTTGAAATTCCACATGAGACCTTGTAATGTCAACATAAGGGAGGGCGGGGGGGCGGGCATGGTGATCACACAATGGCTTATGACATCACTCACTACATTTATACCTGCTACACAGAACGCTGAAACATTTCAGCTTCTGCCTGAATCAAGAACAGAATCATCTCCTTAGACAGGTCAGTGCCACATAGTAATGTATAGATTAAAATGTATGCCTGTTGGTTAATGTACAAAAATCAAAATTCAAGCGTTTAGATGTTCCGGAATAATGTATGAAAATTTAAATATTCAGAAGTTGAATGTATGCATTTTAAAAGTTTTATGGTTTTTAAAAATTTGTGTTAAGGGGATAAATTCTGGGGTAATTTGTCATATATTAATAGATACAAATACAGCAAGCAAGGATTTTTAAATAATGAACAGAAATATCTTAAAGGAGCTATTGGAAAAGATGGAAAGAATGTGTGAACAACTTGGGAATTTCAGTGTCTTATAGTTTTTTAAAGCTTGTTATAGTTTAAATCGTAATAAGGAAGCTTATTTCCAAAAGACTGAGGTGATTCTGTTATCTTTCCCACGAAGTAGTCTACTTCAGCAAAACAGTACACCGTGTGCTATTTTGGCCTCTTGGGAAAGATGTCACGTTCAAGTTTGCTAGAAAGAGATAATTATCGCTTTTAGCGACGCATCTCACGGAAAGTTCATCGGGATATTGGTCTAGAGAGAAAATGGCGGCGGGGGGTGGGGGTGGGGGAAGCCGAAATACCCCAGTTTAGGATGAGCAATGGGCAATGGATGCCCTAATTTAAGGTTAATTGTAGAACCACGGGCTTCCAACCGTGCATTTCCGTCACCTACACTTTTCCCACAAAGATATTCCATAATAAATTTACAAAACAGTCCTATAGTCTAGTTTTATATTCTTGTCAAGAAAAGGTTAAATTTAAAAACTATTAGCTAGAATTCTATAGCTGATGTGTTAAAAACGAGCAAAAAAAATCACTGCCCTCTGAATGTTCGTTCTTGATTATTTTGACGCAAGTAGAGACAGAACAGCTTTTTTAGATCCGGCATTTCTCCGGGTAGTGCAGACATGCCATTTTTATTAATTTTCCCACCCCTGGGAAATCGATTTCTGAAACGTGTAATTGTTGTGCAGTGAGCCAAGTGGACAGTGACGCAATAATCCACTGCAAGTTGCCTTACGAAAATGATGTCATTTGGCGCAGATCTAGTCACTTTTATAACAGGTAGTAATGGCAAAGCTCCCTACACGCTGTCCCCGATTCCCCCACCCCCACCGTGGCAAAGATGCAAAAAGACACTTTCCTGGCTTCCTAGCCCTTAACTTGTCGAGGATGGGCGCACCGCAGTGGCTCCAGGCCCGCGCTCGTGCAGGGGGAGAGGGACCGCTGCAAGGGGACGAGGACAGCTGAGCGTCCTCAGCCCCGACGGCGGCGCCGCAGGGGAAGCTGCGTCGGGCCAAGCCCGGAGCCGCGACGCCCGGTCGCCTGTTTTCCTCAGTGGGGCACCGCTGGCGTGGCGGGCCGGCGGCGGGGACGCTGGGCGCAGCGGGCGCGGGACACCCTTCCCCGCCCCCTCCCCCCGTTCCCACACCCGCTCCCGCTCCCGTGGCGCCGGAAGTGACGCGCTTTGGGCTGAAAGATGGCGGCATTGGCGCTCGACCAGGGGGAAGGTAAACACCCGCCAGGCCGCGCGCTGGCCCCCTCGGGGCGCCTGCAGGGGCCTAGGGGGCCTCCCGGGCCAGCTCCCCGCTCCCCACCCGGCATCCCACCCTCCCCCCGCTCTCCTAGTGTGGCTGGCTTCTGCGTCTAGACTACAGCGCACGGGGGGCCCGTGCCAGGCAGCCCCGCCTCCCTGGGCGGGCCCCGGGCGGCTCCTGCGGCCCGCAGGGGGCGCGCAGCCCGGAGCGGCCCCCGGCTCGTGGCCCTGCACGCCCCGCCCCTTTCCCGCCCCCTTCCCGCCTTCCTCCACCCCCGGCGTGGGTGATCCCGAGGCTCGGCGCGCTTCGGGGCAGAAGCCCGGAGACGCCGTCGTTGACGCTGCGACCGCTGGTGCTTCTCTCTCTGCCCGCTGCCCCCCAGCCCTTTCCTCCGCCCGCGGCCCCAGTCGGTCCTCCCGCCGAGCCCCTCCGGGTGCTGCAAAGACCCCGGCGTTGGCAAGGCCGGTCCGGGCCCGGACGCCGCGCCGCCTCGTGTGGAGCCCGACTGTCTGGTTTCGCGACTCAGAGCTGTCTTCTTTCCCAGGACTTACTCAGAGGGGGCTGCAGGCGAGCACACTTGTGCCCCGCCGGAGCGACCCGGCTCGGGCCGTGAGCGGCCGCTCGTAGACGTCCGAGAAGCCTGCCGAGTGCCTTCCCGGCGCCCGACCGCCCACCCATCGGCCTGCCGGCCCCGTTCTTCCTAATGCGGACTGCCGTCCACTAGAGGTTGGACAGGACCCCCCGAGGTACGTAGCCGCCCCCGGTCGCCTGCCTGCGGAGCCGGGGCTTCGCCCGCGGCCCCGAGCTAGGCACGAATTCGCCGGCCGTCTCTGCACGGACCCGAGTCAAACATTTGGTAGACGCCGGGACCTCATTTGTCTTTGAGTTTACTTAAATTGTTTGAAATGTAATTTCTTTTTCCCGGAGAGAGCGAGAAAGAAAAAGGAAGAAGCATAATTCAGCCATTTTTTGCAGCACACAGCTGCAGGTACCATGATTATTTTTTCCCCAACCCGTTCCTTCCCTTTAACAATTCTATTTATGCCTGAAATAGAACTACACGGAATGCGAGGCATAAAACTAGGAATCGGAAGGTCTGGGTTCGACTTGGGTGACTCCGAGAAAAAATCGCGTACCAAGCCTCTGTTTCTTATCTATGAAATATAGTCGGTACTGCCAACCTCTCAGGGTTGAGAGGACTATATGAGGTCATATATGTGAAAATAATCCTTAACTGTAGAGTGTTGTAAGAATGCAAGGCCGTTTTTTAAAGTAACCTTTGCTAGAGTGGTTAATGTAGTGGCTAACTGTTGCTGCCTCTTTATTTCTATATTATAAATATCCGCAAATAAGTACGGAATAATAGTAAAGCAGTGCTGTGAATCCATAGATTTATAATAGTCACGTTGTTTGGCCTTCCTCCTACCAAGTGTTAACTGCTTATTTAAATAACGGTATTCTTTAAGTCAAACGTAACGTTACTGTAGGGGCTTTGCTTTTTATCGTTCTAGGCCGCTTTAGGCCCCTTTTCTTACTCCAGATATTTAGTTAACACCTTACATTTGCTTAGTCTTTTCTATTTTCCGATTTTGTTTGCGTTTGTTAATCTGATTAAGTTGTAATTTAGAAAATGCCTTGCAGACTTATATGCCCTAATTTTAGTGCCTGTTTTTCCTATCTAGGGAACAGGGTGCTTGACTACATTTACTAATTTGAAAATTGTTTTTGAAGAGCTTATCAATGCATTCATGTTTCAGTAATCCTTGATCTAGAAATGTACAGAACATTTCAACTTTTTAGCATTTACTGTAATATTTAGATAATTTGATTCTCATTTTTAATCATCACAGCACTTAGTAGGTGCTTAGAGTCACATTTATCAGTGGTAAAGGACGTTGTTTGCACTTTTCATTACTGATTAGTTTGGGGAAAGAATAGGTGAGTAAATATTTGTGATTTGAAATGGAACGTATTTTGCCAGAATTTAGATGTGTAACAGATCAGTATGGATCATTCTTACTTGGCGCATCAAAAATGTAGTATGGTTTGGCTTAAATGGTCCACAAAAAGTGAAAAAGCAGCATTTTTTGGGTATACTGTTATTTTTAGCTAACAAGTGGTTTTGAGTAGAGATGTTTTATTGAAATGGATAATCCTCTAGTCCAATACCAGTTGTCTTTCAGAATATACTTTTCTGTCTTGTAAAAAGGTAGAATAATAGAAGATGGGTAGGATTAACATAGTAAAAAGAAGAGCCTACTTCAAAGTGGCTGCTTTTATAGATTGGATTTTTCACTTATCTTGAAGATAAAATTCTGACAAATCATTGCTTTATTGGGAATTTCAAGATTTGACCTTCCTCTACCTTGAGTTGGGTAATCTCGGAAACCCAACCTTGATCAGGGCAGGCTTGGCTTCTTGGATGTTCAGAAGGGCCCCACACTTGGCTTAATAGTCTGCATGTAAAACTGGGATTGTACGGTATCAGGGTGAATGGTAAAATTCATGCTAATTTAAATTTTTAATTTTCCTTTACTCCGAACGACATCAGACATCAAATTTAAAAGATACTGTGAAACAGGCGAGAGATACAGAAGAAAGGAAGAAGCTTTATATTTTAACACCTATAATAACTTTTTTTTTTTCCTTTTTTGAGACGGAGTCTGGCTCTGTCGCCCAGGCTGGAGTGCGATGGCGCGATCTCCGTGCACTGAAACCTCCGCCTCCTGGGTTCAAGCGATTCTCCTGCCTCAGCCTTCCGAGTAGCTGGGACTACAGGTGTGCGCCACCACGCTTGGCTAATTTTTGTATTTTTAGTAGAGACGGGGTTTCGCCGGGTTGGCCAGGTTGGTCTCAAACTCCTGGACTCAAGTGATCCTCCCCGTCTCGGACCCCCAAAGTGCTGGAATTATGGGCGGAAGCTGCCGCACCCAGCCTGTTTCTTTTTAGACAAAGTCTCGCTCTGTCGTCGAGGCTGGAGTGCAATGGCGGGATCTCAGTGCAATGGCGGGATTTCAGTGCAATGGCGCGATGTTGGCGCAATGCAGCCTCCGCCTCTCGGGTTCAAGCGATTCTCCTGCCTCAGCCTCCCAAGTAGCTGGGACTGCAGGTGCGCGTCACCGTGTCTGACTAATTTTTGTATTTTTAGTAGAAACAGGGTTTCACTGTGTTAGCCAGGCTGGTCTCGGAACTCCTGACATCAAGTGTTCCAACAGCCTCTGCTTTCCAAAGTTCTGGAATTACAGGCGGGAGCAACCGCACCTGGCCATCGCCCAGCCTTTAACGACATTTTCCCCTGATTTTGAACAGCAGTCCCCGCAAGTGCTGTAGGTGCCCTGTTGTCAAGCCTGGCCTTTCCCAGGGCAAATGTTCGGAGAGTGAATAACGCTAACTGTGAAGAGAATGAATCTTTAGCTTAGAGGAGGGGGACTACTTTACTAGCATCCATTTTCTCTGACTTGGAGTCCTAGACTAGAATTTCTGAATTTCATGTTAGACCAGAACTTAGAGGATTTGAGTTTGAAGATTTGGGTTCCCCTCCCACCCCCAATCGAGGCTTTTTCTAGAATTCTCACTGGATCCAGTCTCTAGAGGCTAGGAATGAATGTTTAGCTTAGAGGTGGTGGACTACTTTATTAGCATCTGTGTTCTCTGAATCGGAGTGCTAGATTAGAATTTCATGTTAGAGCAGAAGTTAGAAGTTTGGGTTTGAACATTTGGGGTTTGTACCCCCCCAATAGAGGCTTTTTCTAGAATTCTCACTGTTTCCAGTCTCTAAAGGCTAGGGAAGGAATCTTTAGCTTAGAGGTGGTGAACTACTTTATTAGCATGTTTTTTCTGAATTATACTGCTAGATTACAATTTCTGAATTTCATGTTAAACTAGGACTTAAAGATTTGGGTTTTTTTCTCCCCCAATAGAGGCTTTTTCCAGAATTCTCACTGGATCCAGTCTCTAAAGGCTAGGGAATGAATATTTAGCTTAGAGGTGGTGGACTACTTTATTAGCACCTGTGTTCTCCAAATTATAGTGCTAGATTAGAATGTCTGAATTTTAGGTTAGACTAGGACTTAGAATATTTGGGGTTTTTATCCCCCAGTAGAGGCTTTTTCTAGAATTCTCACTTTCCAGTCTCTATAGGCTAGAGAATGAATCTTTAGCTTAGAGGTGGTGAACTACTTTGTTAACGTCTGTTTTCTCTGAATTGGAGTGCCACGTTAGAATTTCTGAATTGCATTTGGGTTTTTTCCACCCTCCCCAATACAGGCTTTTGTTTTTAGAATTCTCACTGGATCCAGTCTGTAAAGGCTAGGGAATGACTCTTTAGCTTAGAGGTGGACTACTTTATTAGCATCTGTGTTCTCTGTATTGGAGTGCTAGATTGGAATTTCTGAATTTCATGTTAGACCAGAACTTAGAAGTTTGGGTTTGAGCATTAGGGGTTTTTACCGCCCCCCCCCACCCCCCACCATAGAGGCTTTTTCTAGAATTCTCATTGTTTTCACTCTCTGAAGGCTAGGGAAGGAATCTTTAGCTTAGAGGTGGTGAACTACTTTATTAGCATCTATTTTCTCTGAATTGGAGTGCTAGACTAGAATTTCTGAATTTCATTTTAGACTAGACTAGGACTTAGAAGATTTGGGGTTTTATTCCCCAGTAGAGGCTTGTTCTACAATTCTCACTGGATCCAGTCTCTAAAGGGTAGGGAATGAATATTTAGCTTACAAGTGGTGGACTACTTTATTAGCATCTGTTTTCTCTGAGTTATACTGCTAGATTAGAATTTCTAAATTTCAGATTAGACTGAGACTTAGAAGATTTGGGTTTTTCCCCCCCACAATAGAGGCTTTTTTTTTTTTTTTTTCTGGATCCAGTCTCTAAAGGCTAGGGAATGAATGTTTAGCTTAGAGGTGGTGGACTACTTTATTAACATCTGTTTTCTCTGAATTGGAGTTCTAGACTAGGGTTTCTGAATTTCATGTTAGACCAGAACTTAGAAGATTTGGGGTTTTATTCCCCAATAGAGGCTTTTCCTAGAATTCTCACTGGATCCAGTCTCTAAAGTCTAGGGAATGACTCTTTAGCTTAGAGGTGGTAGACTACTTTATTAACTTCTATTTTCTCTTAATTGGAGTGCTAGATTAGAATTTCCAAATTCCATGTTAGAATTGGACTTAGAAGATTTGGGGTTTTATTCTCCAGTAAAGGCTTTTCCTAAAATTCTCACTGGTTTCAGTCTCTTTAGCTTAGAGGTGGTAGACTACTTTATTAGCATCTATTTTCTCTGAATTGGAGTTCTAGACTAGAATTTCTGAATTTCTTGTCAGACCAGAACTTAGAAGATTTGGGGTTTCCCCTTCCGCAGTACAGGCTTTTTTTTTTTTTTTTTGAATTCTCACTGGATGCAGTCTCTAAAGGCTAGGGAATGAATCTTTAGGTTAGAGGTGGTGAACTACTTGATTACCATCTGTCTTCTCTGAATTGGAGTGCTAGATTATAATTTCTGAATTTCATGTTAGACTAGGACTTGGAAGATTTGGGGTTTTATTCCCCAGTAGAGGCTTTTCTTAGAATTCTTACTGGGGCCAGTCTCTCTGTTTTTGTTTTGTTTTATTTTGTTTAAGACAGTGTCTCTGTCACCCAGGCTGTGGTGCAGGGGCCTGATCTCGGCTCACTGCGACCTCCGCCTCCCGGCTTAAGGGATTCTCCTGCCTCA